TACTAACGACGTAACGTAACGTACGTTACTAGTTAGTACGTCGTTTCTCTCTCTCTCTCTCTCTCTCTCTCTCTCTCTCTCTCTCTATATATATATATATATATATATATATATATATATATATATATATGTATATATATACTACAATAAAGATATTTGAGCCCTGAAAGATGGAACATGAAGATGAAAGAATTGATTTCTTAAACCCAAGATAGCTCCACTCAACCAGGTACACTGACATTGGGTCCACAAGTAAGAACCAGGGGGAGAGAACATATAATTTGAAAAGGTATAGCCCGGTCAATGTCCTTATTCTGAACTTCGTTCTGGAATTATGTTGTTCTTTCAAAAGCACCACCGACCTGCATATGCACTTGGACATAATCCCTAGGCGCTGCTTGTGAGCTGAATGCAATATTTGTCGTCTCAAATGTCTGCAAGGAAAAACCAAACCTCAATTTCAATATCTCAGATAGTAACACCACATAAAAACAACAGAAGAGGCCAAAAATTCCCAAAAATGGCAGAAAATGTGACGTTAGTCTAGAGCACATAGAAATACTGTAATTCCAACTAGGAACTACTCTATCACATGAGGTTTGCAAACCTCGTTAACCTTATAAAAGCTCCATTGGGAAGAAAATCCTCCAACATTTGCTAGCCATGATAAACAGGCATAATGGAGACTACAGTTGAGAATCCAACTGCAGTATAACAGATGAGGAAGTGATTCACCTTAAAAAAATACAAAATCTATAAAGGGATCCAGTGGATATACAATCGGTAGCTCACATTTTCTATTTTTAAACTCTAACTCCGCCTTGGCTGGCCCCTTGCCAATCCCAAGCCCAAGCCCGGGTACAAAGGAGGGTTGTGTTAGGTGGACAGCTAGCATAAAACTTTGCCTTTCATGAATCCTGAATCTACGTTATCTACTCATACTAGGGTGTTCCCCGTATGCGTTTATGGTCTTACTTAAGGCATGGCCCTTGATGGAGTAGAACAGCAGAAAAGGGTTCGTATAGTCAACCCCAAATAGTTGGGATAAGGCTTTGATGATGATGATGTTTCTAATTTTAAAGAAGAGGTGAGTGAACATAAACGTAAAGGAAATTGATGACTTAACATCATTTCTGACATCATGTTTTGACCCTATCTCACGAAAAGTTTTTTCTTTAAACATTGAAACTGTGATATGGTATCAACGGTTAGAAAAGCAATAAAAGCATAGGAAGAAAAAGAAATTTGGAAGAGGGGGAGGAATTGAATAGAAGGAATATGATTTGAAATCAAATGAATTCACTTCTCTCACTTACATCCTTTGCAGGAAACCCTTCAATGCCAGAACTCATCCTTGAATTAACTGCTTCAAGCTTCATTGATAAAAACTGTGGACCAGTAAAATGCATAGATCAGATTCAATAGGAAATGCATGTTTTCAGAAAAACCAGACTTGCAAGTTATGACATTTATTACCTCGACCTGGCGCTGCAATGATTGGATATAATTGATTATCTCGTCAAGAACCAAAGCCTTGCCGATCACCTGCTTAATCCATAAACAATTAAGGTTTCAGTAAAAAGTGATGTAGGAGACAAAAAACAAAATGTCAATAGATGGTGGTACCTTATTACATCCAGGTACCAGGTCCTGCAAAATCTTCATTCGCTCGCTGATTTTTTCCCTCCTAGCCTGCAATAATAGAGAAACAAACATCTGTAAGCAGAAATCCATTACGGGAACCGATCTTGAGATCTTCCATTTTCTCAAGTCTAAAATTGCTGTCTCTTCCCAAAAGAGTTAATTGTTGGTTAAGTTATTTGGCCGAGACAATTCTTATATGACTGATACCCATAAAAAACCGCTCTTACAGCTAATCTATCTCCTATATAACATGCCACGACATACAGTCAGAAAAACAAAATCCTAGAGTAGTTTAGTGATATGCCATCTTAAGCACAAATTCTTAATACACGAGTCCTTTCAAGGAAGGCCCATAACATATATGGGGATATATATCAAACCACAGACTCATCCATTAAATTAGTAAGGACAAAAGTGCTCTTACTCTTTCAGCAATGCTATGGCTATCTGTAGCTTGGCCTCTTCTGGCCCTCACGTGTATGTAGTCTTGCTTGGGTGGCTCCACTGGTTGAATCTTGTGTTCATCCTGGTTATTACCCGCACTGGCTTCAGCTTCACCTTTCAAATCCACACTATTTTCTCTGCTGCCTGTGAGTGCTTTAAGTCGCATGCCTTCAGAACCAGTCTGCTGAAAAGGCCACAAAAGAGGCACTAACTTCATTTATGTACCCGAATAAGAAAAAACATGCAGGTTGAAATTAACAGTTCAAACTTGAAAAAATGCATAAATAACTATTTCAGTATAAATAATGGAGTTTATGAGGAACCCCATATCCATTTTAGCACAAATCGAAGTTCTAGTTAATGGGGTAAGGCGTAAGCAATTATTCATGCTTCTGAGATTGCTAGTTTCAATCGCATGAGAATCACATGATGATGCAACAAATAAAACGCATCAGAAAAAATTAAGGCTACAAAATGAATTCATGATTGGAACAACAATTGAAGAAAAGAAATCAATCTCCTGATTATGAAACTATTCTCGTGCACTGATAAGCTAGCTCAAAGAAATCAGTTGATATTATATCAATGCGTGCAGTGGAAGTTGGCTTGAATAGTAGTGGAACATAGGTGAAAAATGAATTCCACCAAAGGAAATCACACAAAAGCAAAAAGTGCAGGGTAAAAAACATAGCCAAGGTGCCATTAAATGAAAAATTCGGACCCAATAATCAGTTTTCAGGTCTAAAGACATGCGACCAGCCCCAAATGCACCAGGATAGGGAATTATAAAAGTCATAACTCCAGCACAAAAAAAATGTATCAAGCACACATAAGGAACGAAAAAGTGGAGCTCTTTAAGAGCGTTGATTGATGAATTTCGGAGTAAACTTAACACATAGAACACAAAAGGCTAGTAATGGAAACCAATTGGCAGCAGAGATAGAGAGAGAAAGGGTGGCGTACCAATGGATCGCCACCACTGCTAGTAGAGACAAGCTTTGAGGACTCATCATCAAGCACTGCTGCCTCTCTCCGCTTCTTTCTAGAATGCGGGGGTTCACCACCACTCTGTTCAGTAACAGAGGATTCTTCAACTGAGACTGAGACATCTCCTCGGTTGCTCATCTCACCAAACGGAAAGTGAGGGGATCGTTGCAGGAAACCCCCATTGTTCAAATCCCCAATGTTGTTGACAGAGAAAGGCCAAATCTCCCCCAAATTATAGGAAGAACTCTCACTCATCATCTGTTGAGGATCCATCCTATCAATCCCACACCCAACCCCTCACTCCCTCCCTCTCTCTCACCCACCTACACACACACTCTATTACTATATGGGTCGCAACCGAAACTCGGATTCAACCATCACAAGCGCCCTTGTACACAAAACAATCCAGTGGATCTACATCCAGAAGATAGGAATTAAACAAAGAGGCCTCTCAATATCGACATAAACATACTCTCTCTGTCTCTCTTTCTCATCATTTCACCGACTCGGAAAAAATACAAGTCGTTATTTTTAGAGAGAGAACAGAGCAGTTCAGTAATGGCAGTGACACACAGGAAGAAAGGGACTTTGTGGTGCGGTCCGTACCTTGAAGGAAACCCCAAGAGAAGCAGATGTGAGCCGTGGCTGCTCTCCTTCCACTAAAACTCACTCACTCAACTCACTCTCAGACCAGAGGAGAGAAGACAAGAGTGGGGGTTTGGAGTCATTATTAAATAAGAGAGAGAAGAAATGGAGTCAAAAGCAAGAGGGAAGGTAATTAATTGCACGGCCTCCTTGTTCGCAAAACGCGGAGAAAAGTTAAAAATGATTAGATGAAACAAAGTCAAAAGGGTTCCAAACCCAATGCAGCTGATTATGGTAAATTAATAAACTCAATTGCCCTGTCTAACGCCACGGGATAGGGTGGCAACGGATCGGGTCGGGTCGAGGTCCAGAAAATGAAATGGTACCGAATTCATCGGACGCAGACCTGAAAATATAGTGTGGGACTTGGACCTGGACCTGGACACTTACCCGACCTGATCGGACCCAACCAAAAATTAAAAAAAATCTATTATTTAACTTTAAATATATTTCATATATTTTGACCAGAAAGTTATTACTAGACCTAGACCTAGACCTAGACCTAGATCCAGACCTGTACCTAGATCTAACTCGCCTGGCCTAGATTGCTCCTAAGAGGGACCAATCCGGGCTGAATAGACTAGATAGAAAAAAATGAACGTATGAGAAAAAAATATTGGATGGTTGATATTTATGATCTAGAACAAATTGTGTGTGTTAAAATAAAATGGTAAGGACTTATACTACACTTGGTAAGAACAATGCTATCTGTTGCATAAGAGAAGTTTGTTCACCTAGGTTCTATGCCGCTTAGGTGCTTTCATTAACATAACAAATGGTGCTGAAACATGTACATAATTGTTTAGTTTGTTTGCCACCTTCCAGCCTCGAGGGAAAGTGGTTTGAGAGAAAGCTCTAGTACCACTTTCTTGAAGACAAGCCTAGCTAAGGTTTTTTATAAGCAGGAAATTTCTTGGGACCTCAATGTCCCAAATATAAAGAGAAATTGACCTTATTATTGCAGTTAAGTATTCATAGATTGTAGAGTCCTTTCATACCCCATTTGATGTTGAAAATCTATTGTTGGGCTTAGAGTTTTCCCCTGTAGGTCTAGGGAAATATATGAAATTTTTTATATTCTTAGTGGCTAATAAAAGAAAGTGATGTCCATAGGATTATTAAACTTGTTAATGATAGAGAGAAAGATAGGGGAATTTTTATGTGAGACCTCGGCCCCAATCTCCTAAGGCGACGCATGTTTGTATGCAGCAGCAGCCACATATGTTGATACACAACTTCGGTTCCTATCCCATTGAGGATGCACATATTGGTGTGTGACCTCAGCTCGATAGTGTTCAGTGTGGCCGTGGCCTTTATGTAGAGGCACTTTCTAGTGCATCCTTGGCTGCACACTGTTATAGTGCAGCCTCAAACTTCCGAGTGGCATAACCATGCGCCTTGATGTTTGTTTTTGGCACACCTTATATGTCTTTGGGGCAGTAAAAAGGGCAGGCGTAACCAATAGCATCTTGCCTGCTGATGCACCTTAAAAAGAATTATTTTGGATCTAAAAACATATTTTGAGCCCCATTTGTTGTTTGTTGTGGCCCTTAGATATGTGTAGGGCCTACGAAATCTGATTGTATGTGATATTAGACCATAAATTATGATTATTTGCCTCTTTCGATGTGGTATTTCACATCCAGGATGTGACCAGGAGCCTTGCTATTCATATCTGATCCGATGTTGATGACTAGCCTTGTCTCCTATTTGGCTGCACAAAATTTTTGCTTGGAAGTAGGATTTTTTTTATTCTTGAAGAATCGAGGAATTATTAAAAGACAATAATACTTTTTGTGAATGGGCAACTGTGTGTGAACAAACTTGTTTATCGCTGTTATTTATTTACTGTGATTTCCCTTCCAATTTCATAGTCATAGATCATTAGGACATTTCCTTGTTTGGATTGTACACATCCCTAGAGGGGAAATGTTAGATGGTGGGAACCTTTTGATATCTATGTTTTCCCAGTACTCACTCAGTGAGAGAGCAATATTGGAAAATTTAACCATCAGCATGGACCCCCTAGAGGAAAGGGTAGACAACCTAGGTTTGTCACTAGATAGAAAGTTATCAGACATGGGTTAGTAATGATTACTAGGCACAGTACTCTATACTGAGTGGCATGCACAATAATAAAAAAGGATCAATATGAAAGCTTTCCAATAGACAGGCATAAAAGATAAGCCTCCTAGCTATAGTTTGCTCGCACCTCAACCATCTTCATGCATGCACTCATATGGGCATTTAATATGCCACCAAATGCCTTCATGGCAGGGCATTTGAGAAAAAAGACCACAACGATCTCTGACATAAGTACTGCCAACATCATTGAAGTGGCTCTAGCTACTTCCTCATTCTTGGGAACCAGATGAAGATATTGATGATACATTGTTGGAGCTTCACTCATCTCAACACTTAGAGTTAGAAGCATGATGCCACTCTGAGTGATAGCCAACTTGCTTGCCATAATGGGTGGGCCTAAGGCCTAACCCAGTGCAATATTCTTAAGAAGACAGAGGATACAGAGGTTGAGGGTGGTGGTAGCGAATGAAGGCGAAGCAAGCAAAGCTCTCCAATATGAAAGAGTTAACTTTGACCTACTATGATAGCGAGATAAATCTGGTATTTTGCACATGAATGCATTGAGTTGAAGGTGGCATAAACCATCTACTTTATCATCTATGCTAGTGTATCCCCCCGGGTGCTAGAATGCTCATTCACTTTCCATTAGTTGGGTTGTAAAAGACGGGTCTGTTTAGCTTTCATTGTTCTAGCGAGAAGCATGAGCATTGGATGTAGAACAACATCGCTAAGGGTGTGGTGCATATAAGTGGATCATCATGCATTCTAAATTGAACTATGTTATTGCATTATATGCTCTATGCTCTTGGGATGAGGCAAAGCCCACTTTTTAGTTTATTGTTTAAGGGGATAATGTTTTGTAAAATTGTGTGTGATTACTTGTTTCAAAGGGTTTTCTCATAGATGGATATTAACCAAAGTAAACTTTCCCATTTCGGAATTTTTTTTAATACTAACACATGCCCCCCTTTTACAGGGCACAAAGATTGTAAGAACCTTTAGAAGTTATTTATTCTTTTGTTTTTTGTCCTTTGGAAGGAGGCCCTGTGACAAATCTCAATATCAATACTTGCATCATCAATAAATATATTTAATCTCACTTGAATCAGAGGTAACTTACTGCTTCAATAAATTTAAGTTGGAGATTGGTAACCAATTAGGGAGGAGAATTATGATTCTCAGAGCTAACAAGGGGCTCAAGTACATAGTTGAACTGTCTGAGGCAATTCTCTAACGATTATTAAATTTGTCAGGAGGAAACAATGTCATATCCTCTGTAGTAGGTGTTGTGAGAGAGGGAATAGTACCCTATTGGATATAGTGATGTCATTATATCTATATGTGAGCTCCTAGATGCTCTATTGACTGTTGTTTACCTCTCGAATGGGATGCCTTCAAGATATGTGTCTTAAAACCGTTATGGACCCGCAAAAACCCCATCCATACCATTCTCAGTTCTTGGGTATAGGTGGTTCTTGTTATCCCATTGGGCAGAGCTAAACTAGAGGTCATTGGTTAAACATTTTAAGAACTCTAAGGGGCATATCTTGGTTTGTGGGTCTGAAGAGGGTACCTGAAAAATTTGAATCCTACGATGTGGTCTTCCTTGAAATTAAGAGGTCTTAGGTAACTACTGATCTTGGATAGAGAATGGTGAGGAGATTCCTCCACTATAGGATGCTAATAGGAGTAATCATATGGTCATTGAGGATAGTGGAAGGGAATTAGTATTGTTTCTTGAGTCATACGATGCAGAGTTCCTCATAGATTTTCAAATTGAAGAGGAAAGGTCTAGCCAACATCTCCATTGATGAGATTGAACAAGGTTCATATTAAGAAATACTAAGATCATTCAACGATGTCAATTGGATTTCCGCAATGGACTAAGAGACGAAAGTTTCGTGGGGAATAATCAAGTATGGGAACTCATTGATCTTCTCTATGATTGAAAGGTTGATAAGACTATAAATAACATACAAAATCTAAAAAGTGGCGAAAGGGTTCACCCAATTGAGTGTAGAATAAATTAAAACATTCTCCTTGGTGGTGATAATAGCATCCAATTCGCCTCATATTTGAAGCTGTAGTGAATTAGGCTCTAAAACTTAACTATATACTTGTTTAAGTGATATTTCTTGTAAAAGATCTCTCATTGAGAAAAGTAAGAGTTTGATGATATCGTGTAGAAAAATTAACTTGACTATATACTTGTTTAAGTGATATTTCTTGTAAAAGATCTCTCATTGAGAAAAGTAAGAGTTTGATGATATCGTGCAGAAAAATTGCTCATCCAAATTGGAATTGCCTGGTCAAGAATCATCCTGAGCAATCAATTCTCGCAATATATTCAAGATGGTCCTTGCCGATTGTACATTTTTTTTTTTTTATTTAAAAATCTGAAAACATAGTGGTTGGGGGCCTATTCCACATTTTATCTTTTCATATTTTTAATTTTTTGAAACTCTTTAATTTTTTAAATAATTGGCCCATGCCCTGCCCAGATGTAAGTCAAACTTACCCCAGACACGTTGAACAATGCATAATGAAGATAAGGAACCTTTTCTATAGAGGCATGGCACCTCTTGCTTCTCTCAACAGCCTAATGTGGGACAATTCTTCTCTCCTTCTCTCTACCGTATCTCTTTTTTAGCGTGAGGCGACCACCAAATAAGGATAATTTTGGACCATTGGAAAAACCCCTTTTTAGCGTGTATCTTTACCTTTTTAACTTGTTACTTGTTGCAAAATATGTCTCTCTCTACGTGGCTCATCCCATATTTTGCTCGGCTCTCAAAAGAAATTAGGATATAGGGAATATTAATTCATACCCTGAATAAGTTTTGTAGGTGTAATAATGCTAGTTCACGCTTAAAGATTCATGAAATTAAAAAAAAGTAAATAGAGAATCTGTTGTCTGATTTATTAAAAATGTTCACACTTAAGTTCAACTGACTTGAAAATAAATTAATTTTCATGGTAAAATTTATTTATTTGATGATCTAT